ACCCGGTATCACGGCAAGACGTGAACATGTGACGATCTACCACGCTGGGAGACGTGAATATATCACGGTTTCGTCTCTTCAAACGTGACAGTTACACGGTATTGTTAACATGGCCCAACCAGTGAGAAATACCCGGAAGTGCCAAGCAAATGGTCTACCGCGCCTATTGGTCGATTTTTATTGTCAAAATGAGATGTTTTTAATTTATTTTTTAATCGTCACACTCGATTTCGCCGATTTTCTTGTTGCCCCAGCTGGTCGACACCTCTTTTAGCAGAAACAAAGGCTACATTAATGTATTAAATCCATGTTAATCCATGTGTGTGGATCATAGACTGTATAACAAGTCTGACAAACAGGAAGCACTGAAAACGTGACGTGGATCATAAATATATCAGCAATTAAACAACATCTTACATTTCTCTTCACACAATACGTCTCCTTGCAGTATCAATACTAATTCGGCTGACTTTTATATTTGATCCAATTGGTAGATAGGTTATATTTACACCATAACGGTGCACAGCTGATATAAAAGGACTTGTCGTTTTTAAAGATATTACTGATTTTCTTTGAATATAAGAATGTAAATACTGAGTTGAGAGAATAGTCAGGGGATTTGGGTGATGGGAGACACATCTATGGAATCACAATTTCAATAGCTTACTGTTAAATGACGGATATACCTTTCTGTCTGTGATGTTTTACAAATCAGATATTAGAAGTAAAACATGTGAAATAATATAGTAATATATATAGTAATCCTGTACAATTATGTGAAAACATGAATAAAACTACACATCTTCAGATGTTATACATACACAAGTGTCCTACACTAATAATACAAAGTTATTATGGCTGTGTGTACCTTGTGTGCACCGCCTAGTGGTTAAAGCACGTTATTGAATTAGTTGTGTATATGATATGTCAATGATCCTTAGAAAATCTTGAAATCTTGAAAGGGATATGCAAAATAGCCATTATATACAGTCTTTAATGAACTATTAGTAGAGAATAACGAGTAATGAATATACTTTATAGGGATCTGCAGATAAATGTTTAGTCTTCTCAAGCAGCAGCTATCAAATATCTCTCCTGATTGTTGGCACTTGACAATCACCTTTCCCTGAATTTTACTCAGGTGTAACTAAAGCCTGATTTAAGGGTTGTTTATATTTCACATCATTAATCAGAATCTGCAAAGTAACTAAAATAAATGTAGTGGAGTAAAAATACCAGGTTAACCTCTGAATTGTAGTGGAGTAGAATTGCTGTTTTGTTTAGTAATGGATATTGAATATGGAATAAAGGTTTTGACAAGACCTGGTGTAACAATAATCAAAAAGGACATTAAAAGAGCTCCAGATGTTAATGATCTAAACAAAACAGAACACCTGAAATGTATATTTAAATACTTTATTAAGGGCAGTGAATTAGTTTTTTCTGTATGTTTTTCAAATCAGTGTTATACAGTAAGTGTCATAGACAGTGTTACATTGCTATTATTATCCTTAAAATATATATAAAACAAAACCACTTATGATCTTTTTATTTGAGTGGTTTACTAATGACAGTTAATTCTGTTTCTGCTATTGATGGTTTCATTTTGTGAAAAATAATAAAATAATAAAATGCAATAACGTGCTTTAACCAGTAGATGTGCCTTTCTATCAGCTGTGCACCGTTATGGCGTAAATACAGCCTATCTACCAATTGGATCAAATATAAAAGTCAGCCGAATTATTATTGATACTGCAAGGAGACGTATTGTGTGAAAATAAATGTAAGATGTTGTTTAATTGCTGATATATTTATGATCCACGTCACGTTTTCAGTTTTGGCGGCAGTTCCTGTTTGTCTAGAAGTCTTCTCATCAGGGCTCTATAAATACAGAACTACGGCAGATATGTCATATTTAATGCAGCCGAACCGTGTATTACAATGCCGTTATGTGATGACCTCCAAAGAGAAAAGCAAGCACACTCGGAATAAAGTATTATTTTATTTTATTTAAATGTTTTCGGATTTCACATCGCATAAACACCATTTCCCAACGTGCATTGCGGCTAAACCATCAAATCACCGAGCTGAGGACCTTGCTTACGTCTGTTTCTGGTATTTTTTATGACGTTTGTATTTAGTTATACACACATTCCTTCACATTTACATTTTAATTTACATTAAAGTATTTTGTGAGGCCTTCTAAAATGTTTTTAAATATAACTACGGTTCTAGTTGAAGAGTTTGTAAATGAACATGAACCGAAGCTGTTGCCTGGCAACGCAATCGCACAACGTCACGTCCGTTAATTCCACATCCACACACATGGATTAACATCGATTTAATACATTAATGTAGCCTTTGTTTCTGCTCAAAGAGGTGTCGACCAGCTAGGGCAACAAGAAAATCGGCGAAATCGAGTGTGACGATTAAAAAATGTATTGAAAACATCTAATTTTGACAATAAAAACCGACCAATAGTCTTGGTATAGCATTTGCTTGGCACTTCCGGGTATTTCTCCACGTCTTGCCGTGATACCGGGTTGGCGAACCAGTCAAGTGATTCTTTCAGGCAATGAAGCAGTTGCTGCTTCGGACGTCATATGTCACGTGATTTGAACCAAGCTTCGAAGCAGTGCTTCTATTGAATAGGAAGTCCAGGGTTTGAAGCACGTATCGAAGCTTCAGTGTCAAACTGCCATCACTAGGGGGTACTGTCATGTCTCGGAAGATTATTTAAGTTTGTTTTGTCCTGTCTTTGTGTTGTTTCGTGTCTTCCTGGTTAATTTGGAAAAGTAACTCTCCCTATCTTTTGAGTTCTCTGTGCGCCCCGCCCCCGTGTGTCACTCGTGTCTGTGATTGTCTACCCGGTCCTGATTGTGTCCACCTGTGCCCCCTCACCTCGTGTATATATTGTCCTAGTCTCCCTTTGTCTTGTGCCAGTTCGTCTTCTTATGTCACGTAGACTACGAGCATCTGGAGCCAAGCCAGGATCATTGATTTGCCCAGTGCCTTTTCCTCTAGTGAGTGTTTTTGTTTTTTCCACACCTTAAGTGACGTTTTTTTTCTCTATCGAGTGATCTTTTGTTTGAAACCTTGTATACTGTGCCAAACCCAGTAAAGGACCTTATTTTGAAAACACCCTTCTGTGTCGAGTTTTGCGTTTGGGTTCATGCTTCAGAGTTCAGTTTGACAAGGGGCTGATCACTTACCAAACCAGGTAGCCTACTTCAACAATCTATTTTTAATAATCGTCCAGAATGTCCTCATTTTGGCTTTGATGATGAGGGTTAATGTGTACATACAGCTCAAAGAAGTGAATTATGTGGAACATTCAACTGTTTACCTTGTCGCATTCAAGTTTTTAATGAAATCAAAGCCATTGTTGATAATGATCTGTATTGTCTCTCTATTTCCTCATCTTCCACACGTTCGCAACATCAATTGAATAAAACAAGCAGGTCTCCATGTAAATGAAGGTGTCTTTATATACTGTAGGTGTATGAGGCCCTGACACATGTATGCACCTCAACATGAACAAATCCCTAAAAAGCCGCCTGCATGATACAGAAAATGCTCTTTAAACAAAACTCTGAATGGCTATTCCTGCCATTCTAACACGAAAGCTTCATGTAGGCGTGCGTGCGTGCGTGCGTGCGTGCGTGCGTGCGTGCGTGCGTGCGTGTGTGAGGGGGGGGGGTCCGTGGATCAGAGTGACAGGTGACGCTCGCTGCGGCGATTAATCCCCCATCAAAATGCTTCTGTCAAATGAAGCTGCTGGGTCGCGTCTCCTGAGTAAATCGCCAGAACGCCGACACCTCCTCATCTCCACCGCTCCCATGTTTTATTTTGTGTTGCCATAAGTTAGTCTCTCTCCGTTGGTGCGCTGGGCTAATGCTAATACAGGCAAATAAAATGGCGGCTTCACAAAACCTTTCAGAGTTTTACGGGGCGTGGTTTGCAATTCGCCCAGCCAATCAGAAATTGTTAGTGTGGCCGACACACCCACGAACCTTTTCCTCCCCAAGAAAGTAGCACCTCTCTAGCAGGGACTATCTGGAGGTGAAAAGGTTGGCACGAACTAGGGACAAGTTCCAGATCTTTTTGGTGTGAAACCGAATCCCCCCCCCCTATCGGCCTAGTTCGGGGGGAAAAGCACTCCGGTGTGAAAGTGCCTTATGACCCAGCCGTGTGTCAATGAGTTGATATTTTATAGATGTTACATAAAGTGCTGCCTTCACATGCATTCGGTAATACTAACACCAAGTAACTATCCCAATCATATAGCCTTGGCTGTAGGCACTAAAAGCTTTACAAGAGATAAGATATCTTTCAGTAGGCTGCTCTCCTGGCAGGCAGACCGACCTTTGGCTTTGTCCACTGAGGGTTGTCTATTGTCCCTTTCTAAACCATAAGCATTGAAATATAAGTGCAGTTACTCAGTAGGGGTGTATCATTAGATTACTAAGGCTTATCGATAGCGAGAATCTATTTAGGCTAAGTTGTCTTTATTCTTGTTTTTACAATCAGCACTTGAAAAAATAGGCAATTGCAAACGACAAGGTATGACAAAATGAGATGCAAGTCACTATGGCAACACTGACAAATAAATGTAAATCGTGTCTCAAAAAAATGTGAATACGAATAAAAAACCTATACTGTGCATGCTCATTTCCGTAACCACTACGTTGGCATGTATAATGTTTTACAGTCTGTTGCAAAAATACAAACGGATTCAGGCTCTCTATTCATGGTGAAATAAACACTGACGTTTAGGTGCAGTTCTGGGACAAGTATTCAGACATGTTGGTTCACGTGCTGTAGGGAGGGGCGCCCTGCTTCCTCTCGAGCGCGGCAGCAGTCGGTTCAAGAGAAAAGGGAAGCAAACTCTGTGTCCTCTGCTTCTGCTCAGGGAGAAAAAGTCACGGCAGTCCCACATCTGTTGGTGAAAAATGGACAAACGAAAGGCTGTAAAACACATGTTGTCTACCCTGACAAAGGACAACTTTGCCGATTTCTGCGACGAGCTTGTGCACCGCAAAGGGGAGCCGCAGGTCACACTCGACATGGTGGAGGGAAAAAGCCGCTCTGAGATCAGAGAGGTTCTGCTTTCCACTTTCAATGAAAAAGCTGTCGAAGTGGCTGCGGAGTTATTGAACGAGATTAAATGCAAAAAGGAAGCAGACGAACTGTGTGAGTACTTCATGGTTTGATGCAGAATGAGAATATAACTGTTTGGACTGAAGAACATTGAGTCCTAAATGTCTGCTTGCAGATTAATCAGCGACAAATAACAACGTTTAATCGATGAGGGTTTACTTGAAATAGCCTTTATTCTTATATTTCTACACAGTTCAGGAAATGTAACCGCCTTTCTATAGTGGGCAGGGACCCGCCCGACTTCCTCTAGTCTAGAGTCATGTCAGTGTATATCCTTATTTAGTTATACAGTGTAACTTAATAAGAAAAAATGTATCAAAAAAATAAAATAAATAAGGTCCTTTTATGTAATCCAAATATCTGTGGTTAAAAAGGAAAGCTCTTTGCATGCATTCATATGCAGACCTTTGAACCCTCCCTTGTGCTTTCATAACAATGTAATATACGAGTTAAACACGCATTAACTAAACATTGTTAAACGTACAATTTAGCACTAAAGGAGAACTGTGGACTTTGTCTCACATGATAAACATTAAAAGTGAGTTAAATCATGAGTACTCTCGTGCTCAAACCCAAGCTCTGAAATAAAGAAAACATGACAAACCTCAGGAAACCTGTCAAACTGTAAGTCCATCATATTACTTTCTAACGTTGTTTTCTTTGTTATTTCAGTGGCAGCTACAGGTGTTCAATACTCAGAACCTGGATCCAGTAACAGTGAGTTGATTTCCTGTTTTACCCTAACAAACACACATCCTTTCATGTATTCAAAAATGACCTTGGGTTAAAAAACTGTAGGCATGTGCACTGTGTTTTTCTGACTGTGGCAGCATGTCAACATTTCTGCTGTGAAAACATCTTGATATATTTAAATATAGATTTTGTGGCTTTAAATGTAGCCCCAAAACTATTTAATAGAGCAGTTAAACACATCGTCATTTAATCGTGTTAAACTTAGGATACATTTAGCACAGACTGTGTTCTTTGTCTCTTATGATAATGAAAACAGTTTCAGTTTAGTTTTGACACTACTCTTTCTTCATCAGAGTCAAAATGATGAAAGGCTCAAGGCAAACCCATGCAGTTTATAGTACATCTAGAACAATGTACACTGTTGTTGGATAACTGGTTGAACAGAGGCCTGTACTACGAAGCCGGTTCAACATAACCTGGATATGTTTGAGTTAGCCGGTTGGCCTAATCCAAAACATACCCGCTCTCGCTAAGCGGTCCTACGACGCTGGTTATCAACTCGTTAACTCAAGCCATGGTTTCTCTGAGTGCGCGTTCACATTTAAGGGGCGGGGCTAGCAACATTTGACCAATCACAAACATGGACAAGCGTACTGACAGCGCAGCGTCATACTTCCTGTATGAAAAGTGAACTTTAATATTAGTCAAATATGAAGAAGTTAAACTTTAAACATCCATGACTTAAACACTTTATCCAGGATAAAAGCCACATAGCTGCACCTGCAAGGTGAATACAGCTGGTAAAAGAAAAAGCATTTGAATGCGTACATTAACTTAATTAAGGTTTATGAAATCACTGCCCCGTATAAGACACGATCTGACTTTAATTACATTTGACTCGAGTGTTTCGTCAACTTAATGTGTTGCTTAAAATACAGTATGTGACACTGTGAGTGTCGCACGGCCAGATACGGCTCAGCTGACTCAGATAAGGAAATATATGATACATTATGATGTGATATGATATGAATGATAATGGGACACATCGACGTCTGCACTCACAGTGCCGCGGACTGTACTTAATGTTACTCTGATCCGGTTACTTATGTCGTGGCAGATATTTAAGTAAGCTTTCTTAACGCTAATGTTATAATAGTCAGATTGCTCTGAAGATGGGAGGGGATATTCTATTCATTTTCACGTTCACACAGTCAGTTGATTTTTGCCGGCCGTCTTTCCTGCAACGGCAGTTTTTCTGTATTTCCTCTATCCTGTAATATGACTTGATAGCTTTAAACTCCGCACACGGAGCTCTGATTGGTCAGCAGGCGGTGCTTTCACTGAGTTGATCTCTTAGCCTGCAACCTAACCGCCTCCCAAGGAGGCTAGCCGCTCAGCATAAGTTACCATGGAGATCTAGCCCGCTAAAAAGAGAACCAGCGTCGTAGGACCGGAAAGCCCGAGTTTTCCCTGAAGTTAGCCGGCTAAGAGAAAATCCGGCTTCGTAGTACAGGCCTCTGGTCTCTAATCTGCATCCATCAAACCTCCTTTCCTATCATCTAGAGCAGCGCTTCCCAGCCTGTGGGCCACGGCCCCATAGTGGTCCGCGAAGGCATTGCAAGTGGGCCGCCAAATGATTTAATTTAATTTTTTTATTTTTTTATTTTAAATGTTGTACAAGCTAAAGACACAAACATGGACATAACAATAACATATAGGAGATGACATTCCCATCTCAGACAAAAACAAAAACAGAAGAAATAAAGATACAGTCAGTAGGATCACTTCAACATTTCACAAACAAAAAAAGGTTGACAACCAAAAACCACCAAAAACAAAACATGGCATATTTATAGTTCCTTTAATCCCACTCTTCGTTAGAGCTCATTATTTCACATTTCATGGCGTGTTGAGCCTTTGATTTTTTGTGGCAATCATTTTTTCCAAAATAAATGGTATTTTTAATCTACTCTTCAAACACCTTAAATTAAGATTACTCCTTTATTGACTTTTAAAAATATGTATTTTAGCCAGAAGAATAGTTGTATTTATTAACTGTGTGCGGTCTTCATCTAAAAGCCCAAATAAAATATTTAAGGGAGTAAATGTAAATTCAATATTTGCCGCCAAATAATTAGCAAAACATTATGATTTGTGTGGAAACATTTTCATTATTAAGATTTTTTTCAATTTGAACCTCTTTTCCTTTCTCTTTCTTGATCCTCCTTAGCAACGGTCATTACAGTCCTTAGCAACGGCCTGTTCTACTGGATTTACAACGTGTCACATGTTCTGAATCGACCAATCAGAACTTTATTTATCCTCCGTATTGTTTATGGTTGAATGTGGGCCGCGAAAACATTTTGGATTCTTAAGTGGGCCTGAGTTGAAAAAGGTTGGGAACCGCTGATCTAGAGAATTTGAACGGCTCTCTTCTTACGGCGCAAACCGACCCGAACCCGCATATCCAGGGGCGTAGCACAAAACTCCGGGCCCCATACATAAGCTATCTCTGTGGGCCCCCTCCCTCTCTTGATCCATGTCTCTAATGCACCTTTTAAAATGTATTTACAAAGGACTGAGCCAACAACAGTACACATGAATCTGAAGCGGTTATGAACTAAAGTAGAACTAAAGTCTAAATAGTCATAATAGAAGTAATAACAATCTGTGCACATTTCAACCCTCTTTCCTCAACATACTGTAGTTTACAATTACTTTACTGTGGTTAAATGAGGTTTGCTTGAGTATCATGCTTATTTAAGTATTTATCATTCCCACGGTATAAGACAAAACAAAAAAAACACCTTGTTAGTTTTGTAACCACTACCTTGAGAGAGTGCTTACTATACTGCATAATAACAGACAACTGAACAAGACTTCACAAGTCATGTTTATTTGCATAATCAATAACACACAACAAATCTGAAAGCATATATGCCAAAAAGCTCAATAATTAAAACTTTAGAAAGCTGAGAAATCTTTACAATTTCTGCTTTGGATAATATGATTGATCTTGCAGTTATTGAACAAATATGGAGAATGTCTAACTTCGTTTTGTTCAGTCGGATAATTTTATAATGTTCGAATCATGAATCTAATGGCCAGAAGCAAAATGCTAACGTTATGCTACCAAGGAACTACAGGCGAGTCCAGCAGCACGACTTCAACGTCACGCCAACTTCAGATCCATATTCAGACATACAGATTCTAAATGGTACGAGTTGAAGCGTTTGTTTGAACAGTCTGCAGGAGGCAGGTACTTGCTTTCAAGCAGAACAGGGCAAACAAACTTAGAGGAGTGTTTACGTGTTCGGCGTAATGACGTACAACGGCCTCCACGACTTCTGTAGTCCTATTCAGCCACTTGGTAACAACCATCGTTTCTCAGACACGTCAACTCTTCAGAAATCACCAGTGGGGTCACTGCTGATGGATTTAATGTCCTAGAACAAAACGTGATCCGTCTCTTCAATGTGTCTCAACCACAGACCTTATTTACAGATATTTTCCTAAATCCTATGGAGAGATCCCATTGGCTCTGAGACGAGGGAACCAGTATTGGTCAAATGCTAACTCACTTCCTGGTTTTAGGACTCGTCACTCTCTTGGAGTTCATTCCCCAGTAAATGACACTGACAGGTCTTCTTGTTAGCAAAATCCTTAGCTGACCCTCTACTTCTTCTTTGAATTATCTACCTTTAGAGCAAGCCACTCAGGAAGTTCGCCAAGCGCTGAAGCAAATTCTCATTTAATTACATCGGGAAAGAGACGTCCGTAAATCTTATAATGTTTTTTTGAGGTAAATCAACTTTCCAGTATGAACACATGAATATGAATTCATTTTAGTTATGACACTATCTGCTAAAAAAAAACTGAAATAAAACCAAACTTTTAATTCCATGCCTTTCAAGGGCCCTCCCCCCATCTGGGCCCTTGGTAGTCAGTCCCACTTGTCCCCCCACTAAGACGCCCCTGCGCATATCCTATGAGCAGTGAAAACATGCAATTATTAACAGACGCAGTTGCGTATTTGGCTCAAAAAGCCTGGGATGTTGGTTATTTTCTCCATCTAGGACGACACCAAAAGCCTCCCAGACGTTGGATTTCGCTCTTGAGGAAGAGTTATTGACAATGCTGTATTCTCCGAGAGCTTCACCTCAGCCATTTCCAATACTGCGGTCAAGCCAGCCTCCACTTGGGAAAACCTAGTCAAGCCAGCCCGCACGTGATATTGCGGTGCGCGAATATCCGATGCATTACGACAGAGTCCTGAAAAAACTGCCTTCAAATTAAAAGCGCTTACTCGGTCAATAACAAATACACCTAAATAACATACCAAACATATTAAATTAAGAATTATGTACTATATAATGTGATCAATAATTATTTTAAAAAAACTACGTATAACTACCACATTATAAATGAGTGAATGTAAAACTTAAGGAGTTTCAAAATAAAAGACCTTTGAAGTCTCATATATGAGCTATCATGCCTCTGTTTTTAGATAAGACTAAAACAAAAACTCTCCAGTATCAAATACTTATTTCACTCCAGGGTGATAGCAGGACACCCCATCTAGTCACTCAGAAAAGATCAGGACATTCTGATGTAGAGTTTCAGAATAAAAGACCTTTGAAGTCTCATATATATGAGCTATCATCCCTTTTATTTTGAAACTCCAGAGAGTTTTTGTTTTATTCTTATCTAAAAACAGAGGCATGATAGCTCATACAATAGAGACTTCAAATGTCTTTTATTTTGAAACTCTACATCAGAATGTCCTGATTTTCTCTGAGTGACTAGAAGGGGTGTGCTGCTATCACCCTGGAGTGAAATGAGTCTTTGATACTGGAGAGTTTTTGTTTTATTCTTATCTAAAAACAGAGGCATGATAGCTCATATATGAGACTTCAAAGGTCTTTTATTTTGAAACTCCTTAAGTTTTACATTCACTCATTTATAATGTGGTAGTTATACGTAGTTTGTTTTAAATAATTATTGATCACATTATATAGTACATATTTCTTAATTTAATATGTTTGGTATGTTTTTTAGGTGTTTTTGTTATTGACCGAGTAAGCGCTTTTATTTTGAAGGCAGTTTTTCCAGGACTCTACCGTAATGCATAGGATATTCGTGCGCCGCAATATCAGGTGCGGGCTGGCTTGACTGCGTTTTCCCAAGTGGAGGCTGGCTTGACCGCAGTTTTCCAATGTGGTGCGCTCAGCAGCAGATTGATGCGGTTCAGGTTGATGCGGTGCAGATTATGCGCGGTCCCGCGGGGGTAGGTCTGAGGATTTAAACATTTAATTCAATTATTATTATTTTAATATATTTATTATGCAACACCCGCGATCCGACCCGCATCTTCTTTGTTTTACCCAGAACCGAACCCGGAAAACAATGTTTGAAAAAATACCACCAGCGGCCGCAAATCACTTTTTTTGCCGGTCACCCGTCAGGTACCCGACCCGATGCAGGACTCTGGCTCAGACCCAGTGATAGACTGGATAACTCTAAAGCTCCATCTCATAGCATTCTCTATTAAGGCTCCATGGCAGCGCATCATTACGACATTAAACACACAACCTGTAATATTCCTAAACTATAGTAAAAACTAGTGTGGTGGTGAAACAGCGTGGCATCATGGGAGTTGTAGTCTTCAGCTTCTCATGGTTAAGTGGATACGCCGCCATTACAGGAGACCTTGGTGAACATACTGTTACCTTGATTACAATGACACGTCTCTTTGAACCATTTGAGATAATGTTTGTACACAACTCAACAAAACATGAATAATATAGGTGTAGGAGTTTTTATACATTTTAATGAGGAAATGTTACATATTATAACTTTAAGTGAACAAAAATACACCTCTGGGAATGCTGAGTTACTTTAATTTTTAAGAGATCTGTTAAATGTGATTGTTGGTTAACAAAAGTATTTTCCCTGTTTGTCTTCCAGTTCCAAGGAAGGAATTATCCCAGAGAAATGTCCCAGCAGAGAGCAGAGTCCCAGCAGAGAGCAGCGACCCAGCAGACGAGTGGCTGCTCTCAGTTCGGGCAGAGTTCATTAAAAGAGTGTCCCTACCTATCCTGAACGACCTTCTGGATAAACTCCTTGGGTCTGGAGTGATCAGTGAATCTGAAATGGAGTCAGCCAGAACCAAATCCCGAAATGAGGGAGCACGAGAGGTGGTGGACGTGGTGCGAAAAAAAGGAGTTAAACCCAGCAGTGATTTGATCAAAGCTCTCCGTGAGCTGGACCCGCATCTTTACAAACAGCTCAACTAGCCCCTGCTAGTTTTGTATGTTGCCTAGTCAGGTGATGTGGCCGTCTGACCGCTGTCAGCCAGCAGCGCAGACCCTAAAGCCACCCTTTCTTTCATTTATTTTATACAGAAACATATATGAACATATACTTTGAATGCAAACCAATTGACATCAGGGGGAGACACATGTTATAAAAACACATTCTCTAACTGTCCAAGTCTGTTCATACCGTGTACCTGTTTACTCCCTGTCTGTCTTCTTCTGCTGTTCCCTTTAGGGTTTACTTCCTGCCAGTCGGTTTAATTACTTTTTTTTGCGCTTACTGAGATAAAAGAGGATGATTTAAATGCAGTAATGTAAATTTGATATGTGATTCAACTTGTAACACTGTTCAAACTGCCTCTGTGAATAAATTCATTATTATTAAAAACATGATTTCATAACAAAGTAAGCTTCTTCAAAAGATTCGCACGCACACACGCACGCGTGTTTAATACATATTTAATCATTTACTTTTTTTTAAATAATTAATAGAAGTTTATTTTAAATTTAAGCTCCATTTCTTGATTGTAAAATACCTTAAACTTAATAAATGATTTTATAAAGATGATATTATAATAACTTTCAGTCAGTCTGGAGACGGCTGACTTTATTCTCAGTCATCCTTTCACATTTTATTTCTACATTTTGGAATTTTATTTTAAAAAAGTGTTTTAACTAAAGATTTAAAGCTTTAAAAAAATATTTAATAAAGTTTGTCACACTTTGAAAATAAATCAGAATAAGTCCTTTGATTTGAAAATAATCATAATAATATTTCCTCACATTTAAGACACTTGAAAAATGACAAACTATTTTTTAATGATTAAATATTAGCAGCTTCATTTTATTGTATAAAAGGTTTCCGATTAAAATCTTCTGCAATAAACAACGTATGATCCTATTTTCTAAAGGGTTTGAAAACAGAAGCAACAGGAAGTTAGAGCTACAAAAATAAGACTCACGTTGAAAAAAACTCCAGTAAATAAACGTTAACGTCTTTATTGTTGCAGCCACATTAAGACGGTGGAGGTTGAACCTGTAGGAAGTTGTAGGAAGTTGTACTTCCAAATATGGTCAGAAGAGAGCGCGCCCAAAACGTGAGACGCTGACGCAAGGATATTTAAAGAGACTTGGAGGTTTACAGAGAGAACAGACAATATGGCGCACCGAGTACAGGTAATTAACGTCTTGTGGTTTTAGATATAATTACCTACTATCAGGGGCGGATCTACGGGGGGGGGGCAAGGGGGGTGCAGCTGCCCCCCCTTGCCCCCACACTGTAGAGCCTTGTCCCCCCAGCTGCCCCCCTAGCTTTTGTGTCCCTAAAACTGTACTTGTAGAAACAAACCTACACTATGTCCACAAGATTCTCAATCAACGAAACAAGCAGTTCATTCATTAAAAGTGAATCATTTTATATATCATTTTAGGCCCGTTAAAAACGCAGCTACGGCCCTGCATTAAACTGCGGAGTGGCGTTCACACAGACCGCGGCTCACAGAGAGAGGAGAGGGAACGAGCTGTACCCGCGTCTGAAGGTGGATCAGCTTCCCCTGGGAGCATTTCCCCTTCCACTAGTTTTGTTTTTACTACGAGAGTGTTGGTGTTCCTGAATGTGATGGTGCGTTTTGCACGCTGAGTGGGCAGGAGGACAGGAACAGTAAATAGTATGGCATTGTATTTGTTCTTAAATGTCTTTTGCTTTTAATGTCTAAAGCACTTTGAATCGCCACGTGCTGAAAAGTGCTATATAAATAAAATTGCCTTGCCTTGCCTTGCCTTGGTGGTCCGCAACAGCTAGGTCCAGGCACTGGAGATGGGAGGGAGGGGTGCCTATAGAGCACACTAGGTCCAGCGTGTGACCTTTGGTGTGGGTGGGACCTTGGACATGCTGTGTGATGTTGAAGCAGTCGAGTAGTGAGAGAAATTTGGAGGCAAAGGTGCATGTACTGGAGTCGCGACATGGATGTTAAAGTCACCAAGCAGTAGTGTGGATGGAGATCTGGAGCAGACAGAGGTGAGCAGCTCAGCGAACTCAGACATGAAGATGGCAGAGGCTTTGGGGGGCGGTATATGAGGACAACCTGTAGCTGTGATGAGCCGGCCAAAGAAAAGGCAATACACTCAAATGAGGTTGTATTTACAACAGGGAGTTATTTTATCGGGATTTCTGCTCTGTGGATAACAGCCAGCCCACCACCCCGACCCAGGGAGCGGGGCTTCTGCAGTTGAGTAAAGTTAGAACGATATTGGCAGATTCGGATTTCACGGATCAATAACTCATGAACAAGACGTTGTTCAAACACAAATTACGTCTCCTAAGTACCGTGGTAAGGTTGACAACGAACTACAATCACATTTTGATAAAAAAAAGCCAATACATTCTGTCCTCCAAACTGGACACATTACATTGGTCTCTATCCGCAGCCGGAGAAGAAACGAGTGCTCAGGGACCGTCTGCAAAGTGCAACTCCGAAAAAAGAGAATACAATAATATTCAATCACTTCACTATTGTACAGTATATTTCTACCAAACTCACTACACACATCAATAGTCTCCTGGTGGTCATACTACAGCAGAGAGTTTGGAAGAATAATGGTTTTGAATAATTTTGGTGAATATTTATAATGTAAAATCATCAATAAATATGGCATCATCTTCAATAATGTTACTATTATACAGTTTATTACTACCAAACTCACTACACATTAATATTACATTTAGCTGACGTTTTCATCCAAAGCGACTTACAATCGGTATAGTCTCCTGTTTGTTATACTCCACCGATACATTTGTATAAATATTTTTGTGAACAAAACTAAATATTACAGATTTAGCCAAAGTTGAAGTTAAAGTCAACTTTAGTGTCAAATTTTCCACGTGTTATACAGAAACATTGAAATGCCGTTTCTTACAGTCCCACAGCGTGAACAAAAACAACATATATATATATAAACAACTTAAGAAAGTTCTAGCTAAACAAGGGTATAAAAGTAAGTAATACATATAAAAAACACAATCAACAAGAAACATGAGTTGAACATTAGTGCAAGTACTTCTTAGTGCAATAAATTAGGACTAGGATTTAGGACTAGAAATGAAGCCGAATCGTGAAAACATCTTCAGGTGCAGATGATGTACACGATAATATACTTTACTTTTTATTTCCCCTCTAAAGATCAGCTGCCTATATTTGTCAATATAAGAAATGTGCACTGGAAGTTTGTGGTGAGTATACAGCTACTCGTGTAGTAATACTGTAGCTGCTTTTACAGCATGTTTTGCTCAGGGTTTGCACATTTCAAGTTAATCAAATATTACTTTGAAGATGTATGATTACATTTATTCAAATGCATACAACTAAATATACATTGCTATTAAAAAATATTGTAATACATTACTCATATACTGTGACAGAGTTAAGACTAAAATGTGTATCTCATGCAGCCCCATTTTGTAAATGCATCTTTGCCTCAGGATTGGTTTAAAAATGCTTCTTTTAGTTTTAATGTCTTCATGTTCTTCATCTATATCATAGGGAAACAATATAAAATGTAGTCCAAAATAAGTACTCATTCAACCATTTCTCATTGGTGGTCGCTACTGCTCCACTAAAGATTTGAGTCTTCTGACTCCAAATTGTGCAACTTTCTTCATCTGATCTGACATCTTTAATTATTTCAATACTTTTAAGTCTTAAATATACCCATTTAAAATGGGTAGTTATTATTTTAGTATTACTTTTAATAGCTTTTGTGAATCTATTAGTTAACTGTGGTTTTCATTTTTGAAGAAAAGCTGATTGAAAAAGGTTTGGTTTAATTATACGGTATGCTACTTTTTAAAACAGTACCTCCATGCCCTTTCAAACCACATTTATGTGGTTGATCCTCTGCAAGGGTCAAATGAAGTTGAGGACTCCAGAAAGGCTGGTTACAAATTTGGGTAATATAAAATATATTACAGGAAAATACATTGGTTAAACGCACATTTGGTAAAGGCAAGAGTAAGCGCACATTTAAAAAATGTTCCGATTGTTCTATAGAGAGTATTTCAAGATGCGCCGGAACAGACTGGGAAAAGAGGACTGGGTTAACATTAAATGGCAGCCAGGAAAGATAACCCACACCTTCCAGAAAGATGCCACCAGTTGTGGAGCCTTTGTCATGCAGGTGATTCAATGCAACATGTTGTGTTCATTAATAATAAAGCATTTTATTTTAAAGGGAAATTCAAAAACACGTCATAACGTCATGTTATTTTACCATCTGTCCAGATGGCCAAGATGACAGTGAAGGAATTTCCGAAAATACCACAGACGTTTCACATCAACTCATCAAAACAATCTCTTCAAAATCTACGAAGAGACATGGCAGAAGAAATTCTCAAAGGATCAGGTATTAGCCAAAAATATGAAATGAATATATGGATCGCTTCCTGTAAATTGAACAGTAATACACCTGTTATTTTTTCAGTTTCAAAGGATGACTTCTGTTCCTTCTGTGGAATTGAGGACCTGCCCACAACTGCTGTTGATGCTGTTTGGGTGAGACTAAATGATGAGTTGTTTTGAAACTCCAGAAGATAATCTGAATAATACATACTATATAGATCATCTGGAGTTAGATTTCAGTAATAACATAAAAGTAATGACATTTTGTATATTTTTATGCATGACAGGTTTCCTTTTGTTTTTCTTATAATTTGTTAAAGTTTTAGCACAGTACAGATAAACCTGAATAACAAGTATTTATATAAAAAAAAAAAGTATAATCTCTATAAAATATAAATGAATATGCCTGCTTTACAAATGTCCTACACTTGACATTTTCTTAAAGCTCCCATGTCATGCTTTTCCGGTTATTACCCGTCCCCTTGTGTGTTATGAAGGTTTTTATGCATGTAAACGGTGTGCAGAGTCAAAACCCTCAAAGTACACCCTGTAGCGAGTAAAACTCTAACACAGAAAATACCTCCCCAAAACGCCTCGTTGGAGATACGTCACTGCCCATTTGAGTCTTCCATTTAGTTCCGGGTACCGCCTGATGTCATGCGGTACCCGGAACGAAATGGACCAATCCCGAAGAGCTATGGCCACACCAGCAGCGGCGTGTTCCTCCTCCAGAGGTTCGAAGAACCGGCATTTCACAGACGAAAGCTTCCAAAACATTGCCCAGTTTGAGGCCGGATATGCACAGCTTGTTTGGACCGTTTGGAGCAGGGGAAGATCCGGGTATACAACCTGTAAGTTTGCATTGTTATTTGTGTATTTATCAAACAAGACTGTTTAAATGTGTAAACTGTGTTGGACTGCTAAGCCATTGACACAGTGCTAACTGTGCTAACTAAGTTGCTAGAGTTTCCATATATCAACTCTAATATCAGCAGATGGCCTTGCAT